TCTTCTTCTTCTTCTTCTTCTTCTTCTTCTTCTTCTTCTTCTTCTTCTTCTTCGTCTTCTTGCATGCATAGTTGTTATCACTGTATTATTACTTATTATTATTATTATTATTATTGTTATTACTGTATGTTACTTCCTGGAGACTATTTTTCAGTTCGAGGTTTCCGTGTCCTTTAAGAATCATAATAACAATAAAGATAATGACAGTGAATTCCTTCAGAGTAGGTTCAAAGAAGAAATTGCTGGAAGTGATGAGCAATCCATAAACCCTTTGAAAAAGAAGTTACGCATTTGCCTTTACTGTTGCTAGTTCAACGGGGCGCTTCCACATTTTACTCTGCGGTCAAACATTCGTGACGCAACTTATCGTCCAACATCTCCTTAACTATCGAACATCGATGCTCCAATTTTTGCAGAATGACTTAAGCTATATCAAATTGTTTTAAGAGATGAATATTTTTTCAAACACCTGTAAACTGTGTTATACAAATTTTCATAATAAATACTAATATAAAAAAGTCCCAGTCGATGGTTTTTACTGATTTAAAAAAATTCCAGCTTGAACAATTTTAAAAGGAGTCATTGGTGAGCTTTAATGTAGCCATATAAGTATGCAAAACATGTATGAGAAGAGGGAAGTGCTGTAAACAATCCCAGTGTTGTATAAATTTATGAAGAAAGGTATTTTAATCTAGCTTCGTGGAAAAATAAGGTTAAGTTAAGACATTTATACAAACTGCTGTACAAAGCATGCGTTAACGTGTGATTCATCCGTTAAAGAGATATTTGAGGATAAGTTGCTCCACGAATTTCGGACCACACTAAGATCTATCAATGTCTAGTTGTACATTTCTGTACACCCTGAGTCTATGAAGTCTATTCAGGGGGTCCTGATCTCCATGAAGTCAAATATTCAGGGGGTCCTGATCTCCACTCACAAAGATGTAATAAAATAGGCCTTTCTATTCCGATATTTAATTCCAATAAAAATAATAAGTGAAAAGTGACAGGGTCATCTACACTGCTCATTGTATTATAGGAAAAAGAGTAGCCCCGCTATTTCGGAGACCTCAACCCAGTTCTACGACGCACTAGAAAGCACAGAATACAGCACACAGGCTGCAGCAACAAGCCCTACTCCTTCCTCGACGCAACAGAAACAGCCTGAAGGTATTTCTCCCTCAGTATGTTTGTATCATACATTTAGCAGTACTGATTAACGAACTAGGAAGGACCAGTTCTTTTCTCTTTTCAGTGTCTATTATAAGAGAGTTAATTGAGAAAAATGAGAACGAAAGAAACATCTACACCTCACCCCCCTCGTCACAAAAAACAAACAACAGTAACAACAAAAAACAACAAAAACTGAAACAGGAATGCCAAAAGTGTAAAATTCAATCTGAACCCCCTCACCCCTTCCCCCACTGGAAACTTATTTGACCTACTACACACATCTTGGCCCTTTTCTTTCCATGGGGCCAGGTTTGGGTCACTCTGGCGTTATGCACAGGAAATGCTTTTATTATTCTAATGACATTTTTAGGGGGGGGCGTTGGGGTCGAATTTTGCATTTACAGTAAAATGTGCATGTAACCTTCAGCGGCTGTGGGAAATAAAATATCTTCTTCCAAATGCGTCTATTTTTGTTGTTCTTTTGGTTATACTCCCTACTAAATATTTTGACGGTTAAACGCTTCTCTATTTGTTATTAGAGAAAACATAATTTTTAAAAAGAGGTGAAAAAAAGCTAAATTGGCACACTAAAATAGACACCGGGTATGAAAGTCTAAAAAACCAAACAAAACCAAAACAGTATTATACGGGCGTTTCTACTGTGGGCAAGAGGGGTTTGTGTTCATCTCTTGCTTTTGGTCGGTCTCTTTGCACCATTTCTCCCCTCCCTTTTTGGCCTTGCCCCTTTCCAATATTTGAAGACGAAACTTGCTGAAAAACAAAGTTTGTATTAACGTAAGATAATATAATCCACAACCTTATAACATATATTTTAAGTTCTGGAAATACGGGTTTTGTTGAAAGTTTATCAAGCTTTAGAAACAGCTTTTTTAATTTACAGCTTGGCGCATTATCTGTGCACAACGCTAAATGGATCTGAAATACGTTATCAGAGACTGACAATAAGCCATAATATCAATAAATACTCAGCCATCCTTTGTCTCTTTCAAAGATCAAACCCAGCAAAAGGCAGTGACCACAAGAAAGCTGGAGAAAAAGAATATCCCGGAGAAGCGTTCAGGAATGTCGGAAACTAATATAGAACGACGAGATTCTGTAAATGTTTCGGTACCCACTGCGGCTCTCAGCGCGACTACTTCTGCTGTCAGCACCATGCCGGAGGACAGAGAGAGCGGCAGAGCGGTCGTGCCTGACAGCCCTTCTCCGAGAAGGACCAATGCTCAGACCGGACCAGGCCTGTACGCGGCTATATTCTAATAATCTAACATGTGTTTCTTAAAATGGTTTATACTTTATATTAAATGCTTTAAGACGCCTCTCTTGACACAATTTAGATCATTTGAAAAATTGGTTGTCGTTGTAGGGTTTAGTGGGGACGAGGGGGGGGGGGAGTTCCTGATTCGATTGTGTCTCTCAGTACCATCACTGGCTGAGCTTCACATGACATGGAAGCAGAAAGACTTTGATATCGGATACATTACAATGAACAATCTTTTTCTGGCTTTTTTTTTTTTTTTTTTAGCGGAAAGTGAAAATCAATGCAGTTACAACGCAGATGCTTGTTTATTCCAAAGAGAATGCATTGCGATAGAAAAAATGGCAACTTGATAAGATCATCAGCTGTTGACCCATTATGTTTGACCCCTGTATCAAGAACCTTAGCTAAGACGTAGAATTAGTTTCGTTTTCGAGGTTAAGTGATGTCATTTGTTTCCCTGCATTTCTTGGAATAATAAAATCCTCTCAGCTGTTTTTCGAAAATGGAGATAAGTGATTCCGCCATTAACTTGATCCCCCATTACCGTTTACTTTACTTTTATCCGCCGCTTATACCCTTTTGGATGTCGCGGGAAGAAAGAGACGTCTCTCTGTCGCCAGCCAGAGTGCTTGGGTCAGGGGGATGCCGTGGGTGGTTAATGTTTCCCTGACTCCATCTATCCAGATCTTTCTCGGCCGCTCTCTGGCCTTGTTGCCATCGAATTTTTTTTATGTAAGCACATTGTGCTGGATGGTGTGTTGGTAATCGCATGAGATGTCCGAACCAGTTGATTCTATTGTGTTGGATGTGATGCCTGGCATCATTTGCGCCCACCATTTCTCTGAGTACTGAATTTTTTATTTTGTCTCGCCTGGTCTTGTTTACTGCTTTTCTAAGGCTTCGCATTTCACTTGTTGTGATTCTTTGCTCTAATGTCTTGTTGGTGGTCCTTGTTTGGCATTGATAGGGGAGTGTTGGGAGGAATATGGTTTTGATTATTTTGAGTTTTGTTGTCATGGGAATGTTATGATGTTTCAGTAGTGGAGTAAGCTGGTAACTAACATTATTGGCCTTTTGTACTCGTGTTTCAATTCCTCTGTTCAGTTGCCCATCCTCTGTGAATATACATCCGAGGTACTTAAATTCTTGGACCTGTCTGAGACTGTTGTTGTTGATGTGCATTCTGAATGGTCCTGGCTTTCTACTTACTTTCATTGTTTCTGTTTTGTTGATGTTGATCTTCATGTCGTAGTTGTTACATTCTTCAGCTTTACCGACCCGTCTATTTTACAGCCACAGGGGCATTAGCAAGGCTGGTGCCCTCAAGGCATCGCAAAGACGCAGCACTAGGCACCCCTCAGAAGTGTTGCTTCAGCAGCCCACGTTGTCCAGCCACACACTCATAGGCTTCTCCACATGGCGGCGTCACTACAGGAAGTCCACCTTGAGAACTGTGAGATGTTCTTTTATCATCATTATCGTTTCAACGTTTCTGGACACTAAAGAGAGTGTGGACAGATAAAAAAAGGAAAAAAAAAGAAAAAGAAATAAACAAACAACTCCTCCTCCTCCTATCCCCTTAAAAAGAGTCCTTCTCACAAGAAAGTATTGTTTCAACATTCCTGGAAACTGAAGAAAGTGTGGACAGATTGAAAAAGAATTAACAGGCACACGAAAGAGAAATAAACAAACAACCTCTCCCCTCTCACAAGAAACTTAAACCGGAAATATCCGTGAGAATGATTTAACAAAACTGAAAAACCGACAAAGTATGAACGGATACATAAGTAGAGGTGTATGAGTTTACAGATTTGAATCTACAATTTTGTACTGTTTATTGTCTTGTATCGTTTTATTCAGGAGGCTTAGAGGGTGCTGGCGCATGGGAGTCATGAGTCACGAATTAGGTGATTTAGATTACATTTGAAAATTGTGAAATGCACGTTGAAAATCTCTGAGAAGAAAACATCGATTTTGCCATTATATATCTGTAATGTATTAGGGGGAAGCAAAGACACAAGAACAATAAAATAACAAAAGAGAGGCAGGGGTTAAGAATACCAAAAGTTGTGGCTTTGAATTTTGTTCGAGAAGTCCATTGTCCAAGCTTAGCATGGTATTAGGTTTGTGTCGCTCAAAGGATTTTCAACTGCCCGAAGCTTCCGTAAAAACTGAGCCCTGCAGCTCGTGAAAAGTAATAAATCAATTTTTGAAATTCATCTATAGTGGGGCGGTTTAGCCCAAAAATTTAAAAGGATTGTGCATTTTGTGATACAAGCACCAAATTTGGCACAGATGTACATTAACATATTGCAAACATTTTTAGATATTGGGCCACTCGGATTTCTCTCTCTATGGCCACCATATTGGATTTCAAAATGGCCGCCATTTGAAATCTACTTTTGCGATTATCTCTGGGTCAAATGCTGCTACTGACTTCATTTTGGTGTCTAAATGTTTGTTTTGGTGGGCAAGAAATCCAATGGTAACAATCTGCATTACGTATTTTTACTAATGGGCCGCCATATTGGATTTCAAGATGGCCGCCATTTGAAATCTACAATTTGCGAGTATCTCTGGGTCAAATACTGCTATAGACTTCATTTTGGTGTCTAAA